GCCTTTTATTAGCTGTCTGGTTTACATTATTTTGGTGTGCCAGCCCAAAAAAAGACAGAAGTGCACAATAATGAAATGCTAGTATTGCTAGTTTACCTTGTTTAGACAATCATGTATCACTGTTCACTGTAAACTACCATTCTTCAGGTGTAACAAAATGGTCATCCATTAAGGGAACAAAAGACTATTATGGGAGGCACATATCTACTCTAGGTGATTTTAGACGCTAAATGGCATACTTTAAAAACAGAATTCTTCACAGTACAAAATATTTATGTCTGGGATTGCAGGTAAATTTACTTTATAAGAAATGTTTAGGGGGCTGGGGATTTAGCTCAGCGGCATAAGCACCTGCCTTGCAAGCAGGCAGTCCTGAGTTCGATCCCTGGTACCAATAAAAAATGAAAAAGACAAAAAAAAATGTTTAGAAATGTTATCACAAATATGGTGGAAAAATGGAAGAAAGAAGGCAACCAATCTGAATAGATTAGCTGTCATGGGAGAGTAACAATCCACAAATGTAGTTTCACATAATGCTGAGTTAGCTACTGCCATTTAAGCTTTGGCACAAATGTTTATCTTACATACTATCCTAGTTAACAATCAACATAGCCACTAGTCTAGTTACCTAACTGCTGCAACACCCTCATATCACAGCAAAGCAGAAACGCAAATTATCAGGAGCTAAATGAGTGAAATCAGACCATAACAGGTGACAGGAAGCCCTGATACAATTCAATTCCAGGCTGCAAAAAGCAAAGTTTGAAAGGGAGAGGAAGAAACCCTTCACTGAAGCCTTCCCATGTTGGGTCATGAAATATATTTGTTGTTTAACCTCTTCATCTCATGCAGTCTGACATTGATAAGAACATGTTTCAAGTACTACTATATTCCTTCTGTGAAAAAAAAAGTAAAGCACAAAAAGCAGGATCAAGGTTTCGACTGGGTTCAGTGTGACTGAAATTGGCATTTTCTCAATCTTTTCCTAAAAGGCCTTCAGTATGGCAGAAGAAATCTTAGAGATGCAAATTTAGTTCTACCTCACCCATCATCCATGTAAGCTTCCAAAATATAATAAAATTTAGAACAATATTATTATACTAGCAGCCAAAGGCTTCTAATAAATATCACAAAATTACAAAACTAGTCAACTACCAATCAGCCAGGAGACTGAAAAATATAACATCAAAATTAACTTTCAGGAATCAAGTATTAACTAGAATACCCCTATCATTTCCCTGAAACTTTCTAAAGTCTATTCATAATGCATTAGTATTTTCTTGATGATTAAGAAATCTATATGAGTTCCCAGCCCAGAGTAAAAGGTATTTTAAAAAGATAGCAGACCAAAGACACACATAACATGTAACAAATATGCTAACCTTAAGAGTTATCACAGAAGCTGTATTTAAAAAAATCATGAAATTTGAGTACCTTAAAACATCAACCTGTGTAGCAAATGACAAATAATATCTGACCTCTTCATTTTATAACCAAATAAAACGCCATTCTAAGAGCTTTTGTATCCAAAAAGTAGAAAAGCATAATCTGATATGGGTGATTAAAAAAGCAGAAAGGTTTCCAAGTCACCAGTAACTATATAACTGCAACGGTTTGAATGTGGAGCCCAAAGTTCTTACGCTGAAAACTTAATCTCCAATACAATATTGTCAGGAGGAGGGGCTAAAAGATCATTAGAACTTGTTCTCTACAGATTAATGTTGCTACGACAAGGTTCCACTACCTACCACAAGAGACAATTGTTATAAAAACTACTTTCACTTTGCCTTGCTAGTTTTTTCATGCTTTCTTGCTCCATAACCTCACCTTTCTCTCTCTTTCTCTCTCTCCCTTGCCTTTGTACCTTTTGACATAGAACTAAAGCTCTCACCCGCTGCTATCAGACTCGCGGATTTCTTGCCTACAGAACGATAAATCTCTATTTTTTATAAATTATCCAATATCACGTATTCTATGAAAGCAACAGAAAATGAACCAAAATAAGTTTCTAACTAAATATGACTTTAAAATAGCTTTCTGGCAAGTACTACACAGAAATGACATAAAAGCTATTGCTAGAAGACAGATGCATACAATATGCTGTATTTTTCACTACATCTGAATTCCTCAAATTTTTTTCTAGAGTCTACACAAGTTTTACAGCAAATATAAAATTTATCTACATAGGTATATGGTACTTGTGTTAGTCAAAAAATGACTGAGAAACAGCTTAGTTTCTTTTGAGAAGAGTAGATGTGTTGGGCTTTAATTATTTGTTTCACCATAACTCATTTGAGTTTTAAAATGCTAAAATCATTGCCCTCATTTGTCACGTAAGAAAATTTCTTCCTCTGATAAACACAAGAATCCCACACTTATTTTAAAATTTATCCTACTTAATTCAGAATTAAGAAGGTTCAAATATCTTGCTACTTCATGTAAAATGGTTAAGTTCATCCTGTTGATAGACTAGATACAATTAGATATTTCAAATGACTTGAAAAAGGGATTTTTCCCTTTTGACCAGCTAAAGGACAAAACTTAAAAAGGAAGTGTAACACCAGCAGAAACTGTATAAGCATTATATCTCTACAGTTACATCAAGGACACAAAAGTTTTATCACCAAGACACACAAAGACAATGCTGCCATCTAAAGGCCAAAATATAATATGCAAAGATGTTTGCTAAATCAAATACTGCCAAAGTACAAAAACCAAGCAATTTGCTATTTAAATTCAACAAAATTTATATTTAAGAACATGAAATATGCCATGTTATGATTTTCTAAAAACTATTCAATGAAGCCAGAGAACTCAAAACAGTTTGGCTAGCAAAAGTAGAATTCTTTTGGCATTCTTTCAGGTACGCTTCTAACAACCTCCCTTAGTTGCTAATATAAAATAACTGTCTTTAAATGATCAACAGTACTTCTAAAAGTGAAAATAGCTAAAACGCTAAAAATTGCAGTTTAGCAAGTAACAAATATTTCTCCTTATTTTACAAATTTTAAAAATAAAATGTAAATTTCCTATGGGACCTTAGTTATCAATAATTTAGTTATCCAATCTAGAATCCAATTTAGAATCTTATTGAATTGACATTTAAGATTTTTAAAAATTGCTTCAAATTAAGAAGGAAATTAAAATGTTTAAAGAATTACACTAAATTCTGAACCAATCCCTTTAATACTTAATCAAGTAACATCTTTTTAATGCATTATATTAGATAAAAACTAAAGTGAAAGTGACAGAAAACCTTCAAACAGTTGCTTCCTTTAGGAACCACCAGTTAAAAACTGTTTACCAATAAAGAAATATTTCTCCATGTTTATACAAGAAAACAAAGACTAGCCAAAATGAAATATTTTAAAGGAATAGAAAAAGTTAAGTTGAGGGTTACTATCCTTTAATTTACCTTTAGTGCAAAGTAGAAACCAACAGTTTAACAAATTTAGTTGTAATATCATAAAAACTATTAGGTTTTTAATAGTGCTAATAAAACAGAATTTATACTATGTGATTTGAACAAAAAGATAAATGTCAATAACCTCTCCATTTATGGATGCGGTTTAAAGATGTTAAGCAATTTTTCTAGGATTACAATACAGTGAGTAGATACCAGGAGTCAAAAATTCAGCATCTCTGACCCAAAAGACCTAGTACATAATCATACAACCTCAAGTGAGTACATTTAGATTAAATGTAAAAATGTGTATGAAGTAACTTCATTACCAATGTTCAGGGTAAAAGTATTCTACGTGGTTTTAAAAAATCATTTACTTTTAATCATAATGTTTCAATTTTTCTAAAATCCTTTTTTAAATAGGTATTATCTCACTAGAAGTACTGATACATCAAAGAACCTTTCTAAACTTAAATTTATATATTCAATATATTTATTAAATACTATCAAGTGATATATAGTAATTCAAAAGGGCAACAAAAATATCTCTATATTTTTGAGATGCATTTAAATTTTCTTTATAAATATGCTATACACTTAGGACCAGCCTGGCAACATTTTAATTACACTATTTTTCAATATTGAGAATTCCTACTCAATCCACCCTTATGACAGTTTTTCCTGATAATTTCTATGGTATACTTTCTAATGAAATTCAAGTGACTCTGAATACTATTTAGCCACAAAAGGAATGAAACTGATACAGGTTATGATCTCAATAAACCTCAAAAATATCATGTAAAGAAAGAAACCAGACATCAAGTACCACATATTAAATCATTCCATTTTTAGGAAATGTCTGGAAGAGGCTAATTCACAGAAACAGAAAGGAGATTAGCAGCTGCCAGGTACTAGGAAGAAGGAGAAAGTGGAATGATGATTACTGGACAAAGTTTTTTCTAGGATAATGAAAATGTCCCAGAATTAGTTACTGGTAACAACTGTACAACTTAATGAGTCATATACTTTAAAAGGTGAACCTTATGTGAGTCTTATATCTCAATAAAAGAAAACAGAATATTTTTAAGAATATTAAACACAAGTGTCTGAATTACAAGTGTATTTGCTTAACAATAAAAACTAGGTAATTATCAAGACTATCTGTCCCAACTTATTGAATCCCATTTCTATCATGCTAAGTAAAAAGCTCTATTTCACAAATGTATACTCCTAACTTTATATTAAATCTTAAGTAAAATAATTGTAATTCTGAGAGGAATCAGAAAAAAATTGTAACTACAGATGTATTTGGGAAGCCAATTTTGTATTTTCCAACTTGCCTAAGTAATAATTCATAATTTACAAAAGACACGTTAGCATATGTTTAAGGACTTTAAAATCAAGTACCACATACAAGCATGTATTTAGAATTAATTTATTAAATCATTGTTTTGAGAGGATATTTGCGTTTTCAGTAAGCAGTATTTGTCTCTCAACTACCAAAACAAAAATGCATTAGAAAATGTACAACTAAAGTTTAAAGAATTCAAAGATCAGAAATTAAATGAACAGCACAAAGATAAAAACAGGTACTTACTAATTTGTTTTCTTGCATGTATATTCTTTGTAATTTCAGACAGCCCTTAGCTATGATGATCATGCCTTCATCTGAGATCTTGTAACACTGGTCAAAATGAGTATCTCTGAGTTCTCTGCATTTTGATCCCAGCTGTAAACAAAGGGATTTGGCTGAAAGCTCAGAAAGTAACAAAAGCATATACATACGAGGATTTTAAGCATTATTTGAAAATCATACCAGAGGTAAATACTTACTTATAAATTACTTTTAAAAGGAGATAGAATAAATGATCTATAACTGAAAACAGTACAGTATTCATCTTTTAACTTACATGTTTCAATAACTTCACAGGATGTCCATCAAGTACTTAAGATTCCTTATCATTCAAATTCACATTTTATTTCCCGTGAGTCTTAATAGTGGAGAAAGACGATGGTAGAAACAAAATAAAGGTGTAAATTATAACGTATTCAAAAAATTCAACATTACACTACCACTAAAATTCAAATAAAAATTGAGAAAAATCAAAAAGTAATTAAAATTTTAAATTGTAATCCAATTTTATAAAGAAATGTATATTTAAATTTACATTCACATATGAGAAAAGAGACTGCCAGGTTTACCAACAAAGTGTTAACAGTAGTTATTCCTGATGAGTGACTATGCAGGCTATTTTTTTCTTTCTATCAATCTCTAATTTTTTAAACAAATAATTTTATAATGAAAATGTTTCAAGTTCTATTTCAAATAAAGTGATGATAGTAGGATATGTAGACTCATTTACTTTTATAGTGAGAATAATAAATACAAAGTAGGCTATTCTAATGCAGGCTATACCATAATCAATAAATATTCCTTTAGAAATATAAATTCCATGAAGACAGGAATTTTTGTCTTATTAAATAATAAATCTGTGGTATCTTACACTTATCTAATATTTAATAAATACTTGTTGAATGGGTGAAAATGCTAATCAGGGTCATGCGTGTAAGGAGTTCTCTTTACAATTTTTCCTTCAGTGCTGGGACTTGAATCACCCAAAGCCTTGTGTACACTAAGCAAAACTGCACCACTGAATACATCCCCAGTCCTGACAGCTTTTTTAAAATGAGTAAACATAGAAAACTATGATTGTGGTTTCACATACCGCTATGTCCTACTCAATTCATAGATCTAACCTGGGTCCATTGACAGCGCTCAAGTTCCCAGAAGAGTTGATAAAGAATTTGAATTTATCTTCACATTCTCTCCTACCAACTTTAGCATTTCACATAATATGAACAAAACATCACAGTAGGTTAGCTACATTTATGACCCTGAATCCAAAACCAATATTGGCAAAATCAGAACAGTAAGTATGCTACAGACAACAGGTTCACATACGTCTGGATACAAGGTTGACCCTGGGAATAAAACCACTACAACTCTTGAAAATCAGCTTAAGTAGCAGTTAAACCCTAATAAATAATTGTATTCAGTTTTCGAGGACGAAAGGATATGAACTTCCAAACTGAAAAAGTCATCCAAATGTCTATCACAAATGATAGACCTGTGGCAATGCAAATTATCATAAGACTCTATTATCCTAGCTATCAACAAGATTCCATGAACTTCCAGAGAATGACAGATTTCGTGAAAAGGATTTCGACTTTAAAATGCTCCAAACATCTTACCAACAATAAAAGCAACAAAGCAATGCCATCAAATTCAAAAAGAAAACTATTTCTAATATAAAGATAGGCACTTGATTTAGACCATGAATTAACTGTGCTGGTAGAATTCAACATATTTACAGGTACAGAAGTCCTCAGAATATTTATTTCCCATACACACTTATTAAGATGTAATTAGAAACTGCGCTCTACAAAACATGAGAATATACCAAAAGAAAGAGGAAAAGACCTCTGGGTAATGAGCTCTACCTCAACATCAAAATAAAGAACAACTCAGGTTAATGTTGGAGGTAAAATATTAAGATGACTTATGAAATGCAACAACATTTACATGCAAGAAGTCCAGACTAGTGCCAGGCGTGGTGGCATATGCCTGTAATCCCAGCACTCAGGAGGCTAAGACAGGAGGATTGTTGTAAATTCAAGACCAAGCCTGGGTTCAACAACAGTATGAACTGCTTAATGAGATCCTGCCTCAAAAAAAAAGGAAGCCCAGACTAGGAAATCTTAGAAATCCGTGTTAAGAGAATACAAGCCAGCTAAAGAAGAAAAAAATTATTAATTCCAAAAAAACAGAATTTTGTGATTGAAAAAATAATGGGCAAATGATTTTGAAATGTGAATACAAAATACTTACTTAACAAAATAAAAATTATGACCGAATTAGAGGATAAAGAGACAGAGAAGGATAAATTCACTAAATTCTTCCATGGCTAGAAATCATCTATGTAGCCAAAGTAGACTATTTATAAAAATACAAATAAACATGACAAAACTACTTTCTCCATCTGGAGGAAGTCCTGTTAATCTAATTCCTAGTCTTAACACTAATTTTTATTTAATAAAGGAAACATGTTCATTCATCTCCACACCTCTCTTTAGGAACAAGTTGCCCAGACCAAGTAAGTAATCCTCACTTCTTTAATAGGGGCCACTCTGCTGGTCTGGTCTAGTCAATGACTAAGTCATCTGGTCAAATTTCAGAGTCAAGTTAACAACCTCATTCAGCTCCATCTAGTAAGCAACATTCTTCATCTTAGAGTTTCTGAATAATAAGGTTTGTGTTTTTTTCTCTATCACTATTTCTCTCATTTATCAATTTTACCACATCTTGGGCAGAAAAACACAGATCTCGAGAACTCAGCACCCAGTATTTCAGGAATAAACACAGAAATAAAGCAGAATTAACATATAAGATGTAACTAAGCTTTTCGGCTGAGTCTCAGACATCACTGTGTGCACAACTTGGTAGAACCTCATGTTAAGACCTATAAATCACACTGTTATAGACAGAAAAAAGATACACTAATTACAAGATATGCTGACATCAATATGTAGTTTTGTTGGCTTTATCCATAGGGAAATTACTTTTCAGAGGCAAGACACATTGCTAATCATATAAAAATAGGACCACGTGCATGATAGTTGCAGAAATGATCAGTATAACATGGTAAAGCTAATAATGAAGATGCCTCAGAAGACAAGTAATTATTACTCACTACTACTGAATATAAATGTCATTTAATATCACTATAGAAACTAATGTTTCATTTTAGATATCACTGGAAAAAATACATTACATTATCGTCTACATAATCTAAACTCCAGACTATGCAGGCACATAAAGTCAATAATTATATTCAATGTATTCTCAATTTTGCTGATACCTTTCAAATCTCTCACCTGTTTACAACCCTCTGAAAAATATTCAGATGGCCGCAAACAACCCCTGTGAAAAATATCCCTGTACTGCGCACAGGGCGCACACCTGTAATCCCAGAGCTCTGGTAGGCTGAGGCAGGAGGACTGAAATATGGAACACACCCTGGGCAATTTTACTACTTAGCAATACTCTGTCTCAAAGAAAGAAAAGCAAAAAAAGGAAAGAAAATGAAATGACAAGACCCACTTGACCCGACCCAACCCTGGATAGGCTAGGTGGCTATTAGGGATGTAGCTCAATGACAGCACTTGCCTAACATACAAGACCCTGGGCTCAATCCCTTACACTACCTAAAATACCAAGAGAAGCTACAGTAATTTCAGAAAGTCTGCAAAGATAAAAAAAAAAAAAGAACATTACATTACACTCCAAAAAGACATGGCAATTTTTAGTGTATGTACACTAAATAATCAAAATACATGCCAGATGCAATGGTACATGCCTATAATTCCGGCATTTGGGAAGTTGAGGCAAAGGATCACTATGACTACAAATTCAAAGCCAGCCTGGGCTACACAGCAAGTTAAAGCCCAGCCTATACAACGTCAGAACCTTGTCTCAGAAAATAACAAGATTCAGAGTATGTGAGGCAAAAATTAAAGAACCACAGGATAGTTAGATGAATTCACCATAAAAGGTAAGAAGTCTCACTATATGATCCAGCAATCATATTCCTTGGTATTTCTGTAAAGCTGAAAACTTATATCCACACAAAATCCCATGTACAGAAGCTTATAGAAACTTTATTCATAATTGCCAAAACTTGGAAGCAACCAAAATGTCCTTCAGAAATTGAAAGGATAACTAAACTATGGTACACACATATAATGGGATATTATCCAGTGCCATATATATATATATATATATATATATATATACACATATATATATACAATAGTATATATATATATATATATATATATATATATATATACTATATACATACATATATATATACTATGAAAAGACACAGAGGAACCACAGGATAGTTAGATGAATCCACCATAAAAGGTAAGACCTCTCACTATATGATCCAGCAATCATAAATGCATATTACTAAGTGAAAGAATCCAATCTGAAAAGACTACATATTCTATGATTCCAATTAGAATCAGAGTTATTCTGGAAAAGTTAAAACTATGAAACAAATTTAAAGATAAGTGATTGCCAGAGGTTAGAGAGGAGTACAAAAGAATAGGCATAGAACCAAGGACTTTTAAGGCAGTAAATATACTCTGCATGATACTATAATGGTACATACATGTAATTGTATATTGGCTGAAACCCACAAGACATACAGAATCCACAGATAAACTATGGACTTAGGGATAATGCTGTTTGATGCAAGTATATGAGCTACAATAAGTAAGTTACACTGATGGGAGATGCTGATGAGGGAAACCATGTTATGTGTAGGAACGGGGAGTATATTGGAATCTGTGCCTCTCTCAATTTCCCTATGAATTTAAAACTGCTGTAAAGTAAGTTTTTTTAAAACTATCTTTAAAAATTAGGACCATTTCTTTAAAAATTAGGCAGCAAATAAAATTTTTAAATTCAAATTACTTCCAAAATGATTAATCAGGCATAAAAATTTCCCAGTAATACTATAAATTAAGAAAAAAATTCTTAAAAGCAATCCTCCAAAAATGTAAAAATTATAATTACTAACTTTAAAAAATTATAACTTCAGATAGGAAAGAAAAGTTATCAGGGGTAAACATACAAATAAGGACCACAGTTCAAGAAGACATAGTAACTCTTAACATGTATGCACCTAAAAACAAAGTATGTGAAGCATATGTGAAGCAAAACTGACTAAACTGTAGGAGAAAAATAGATAAATCTATTATTATTGTTGGAAACTCTGATATCTTATTAGAAATGAACAGATTGAGAAGGCAAAAAAGAGTAAATATGTAATTCAATTCCAACACCACTAACAATGAACTAGCCATAATGGACAGCTACAGATTACTTCATTCAACAACATCAGAATATACATCTTTCTCAAGCTCACATGGAACACGCAGACTATATCTTAGGACATAAAACACACTTAACAAATTTAAAAAGACAGAAATTGCCGCATCTGCTTTCAGACAGCAGTGGAATTAAACTGGAAATCAATAACAGATCACCAGAAAGTCCCAAAAATACTTAAGAGATTAAACAACATACTCCTAAATGTGTCAAAGAAATCTCAAAAGCAATCTTTTTTTTTTTTTTTTTTTTTTTTTTTTTGTCTTTTTGTCTTTTGAAAGTCTCATTATGCAGTTCAGGCCATTCAGGCCAACTTTGAGCTCACTTTGTAGCCCATGCTGGTTTCAAATTGCAATGATCCTCTTGCCTCAGCCTCTCAAATGCTGGGATCACAGGCATGTACAACCACCCTCCTTAAAGAGAAATTCTAAAAATATTTTCAACTAAACTAAAATGAAAGTATAATGTGTCAGAATGTACAGAATGAAGCAAAAGTAGCATTCAAAGGGGAATTTATAATTAGGGGTATTACAATAAATGGAATTGTTTGAGTTACATTCAAGTATGTAGTATGTAGAAATACAACTAATTTTTTGTAGTCCGGCACTCTACTGAAAAGATTATTTCAAAAAGTTTACGAATTATGGTTTCTATACATAAAAGCATGACATCTAGAAATAGAAATTATTTTACTTTTTTAAAGTATTTTATACCTCTTGTCAGATTAGTCTGGTTTGAATTCCTAGCACCATGTAAAACAGAAGCACTAAAAAAGCAAGTGTTAATTTGTAATGGCTAAATCTTGGAAATAACCCAAATGCCCATCAATTGAGACATGGATAAAAAAGATGTGATATTTTTATACAATGGAGTACTATTCAGCTAGAAAGAAAGATAAACTGGAGACATTTACAGGTAAATGAATGCAAGTAGAGACCATATTTTGTCTTATCAGACTCTCATGTGTAGACATCATATTGTCTCCATCATGTAAGATACTGAAAGATTTAATTAGATCCAAAAACATACCACAGTATTGTGAAACGGAATAAAACTGCTCAAAAGGAAAAAAAAAATAACTGGGATGGGGAAAAAGAGAAAAGAAGGAAAGGAAAACAATATATATATGATAGCTAAGATAACTGTGCTATTGGTCCTGTTAGTTCAGGGAAAGAAACTATGATTGCTTATAATGTTTGATCTGTTTTGTATGTCCATATGTAATCTGAGCAACTATTTTGAAGGTAACAATATGTAATATAGTAATCATTGTTAATTTCCTATCAGCTTGTTTTAAAATTCTATATTGTTTCCATTGCTTTGTTTTGCTTGTTTTGTTTTCATTTAATCTTCTTAAAATACTAATTTATTTAAGAAAAAAATAAAAATAAAAAAGCAAGCGTGCCTGTCTTATTCCTGATCTTAAGGGGAAAGTTTGCCATTTTCAACCAGTGTATCAACTCTGGTTTTGTCACATGGGGCTTTTAATACTGTTAAGGAAGTATTGCTTTATTTCTTGTTCGGTAGGTACTTTTATCATAAAATGGTGTTGATTTTTCCAAATAATTCTTCTCTACCAATTAAGATGTTTATGTTGGTTTTTCTCCTGAAATCTGTTATTGCGGCATATTACAGTGACTGGTTTTGTGTACTGAATCATGCTTCTACATATGGGATAAGCTGCATTTGATCATGATGTGTAATCTTTTTAATATGCTGCCAGATTCATTTTGTTAGCACTTTACAGGCAAGTTCTGCACAATCATTAAAGATATTGGTCTATAGTTGCCTTCGTTTTTTTTGGTAGTGTTTTCATAGGATTTCACAATCAAGGTAACAAAGGTCTCATCAAAGTAGGAAGAGCTGCCTGAACTTTTTGCAAGAGTCTGAGAAGGATTACAGTTAATTCCTCTTTAAATGTTTGGTAAAACTAATCAATAAAGATACTTGATGCTTGGCTTTTCTTTCCTGCGAGGATTTTTTAAGTGAACTAATTGTATGTCCTGACTTTTTATAACTCTGTAACTCTATTCAGATTTTTTTCAGGTTTTCTAACTCTTGAATCAATTTTTAAATCTTTGTTTTTTGAGACAGCATCTCTCAGGCTGGGGATTTAGCTCAGCGGCATAAGCGCCTGCTTTGCAAGCACATGGTCATGAGTTTAATCCCTGGTATCCATAAAAAAAAAAAAGAGAGAGAGAGAGAGAGACAGCATCTCTCTACATAGTTCAACCTGGCCTTAAACTCACTTTGTAGCCCAGGCTGGCTTCAAACTCACAGCAATCTTTTTGTCTTAGCCTCCCAACTGCATGGATTACAGGTATGAATCACCACAGCAGGCTTGTTGAATCATTTTTTATAGTTTTTGTATTTCTAGAAATTCGTCCACTTTAGGCTATCCAATTTGTTGATGAATAGTTACAGTTTTACCTTTTTTTTTTTTTTTTTTTTTGTCTTTTTCGGTACCGGGGATTGAACTCACGACTGCCTGCTTGCAAGGCAGGTGCTTATGCTGCTGAGCTAAATCCCCAGCCCCCTAGTTATAGTTTTTTAATACAATCCTTTTTATTTCTGCAAAGTCAAGAGTAACATCCACTCTCATTTATGATTTAGTAATTCGAGCAATTTGTCTTCTCCCAACCCCATAGGTCAGTCTAGTTAAAAGTTTGACACATTTTTTTTTAATCTTTTCAACAAATTTATTTTTTTCCTTCATTTCTTGATTCCACATATGGGGGTAAAGGTAGAATATTTGTCTAAGGCTGGCTTACTTCACGTAACGTAATCTCTACTTTCATCCATTTCCCTAAAAACAACATTACATTGCTCTTTATTGTTAAATCATACTTCCATTATGCATATAATATCACATTTTCTTTAATTATCCACTGATGAGCCACTGTAAATAGTGGCACAATTAAGACGGGCATCCAAGCATCTCGGTCAAATGCTAATTCTGATTACTTCAAAAAAACGCTGGGACATTATAGTTGGATCATGTGGTCATTCTACTTTTGATCTGGAGAATTTCTATCCTGACTTCCATAGTGGTCATACTAATTTAGGGTTACAGTTTTCCTTCATCCTCACCAGCATTTTATTATTTTTTATACTTTTGATAGCCATTCTGATTGAGGTGAGACCGAATTTTAATATCATTATGTATTTTCATGATGGCTAAAGACGTTAAACAATCTTTTCATATAATTCTTAGTCACTTGTAACTCTTTTAAGAAGTTCTGTTCATTTGCCATCTATTGATTTGATTGCTTGTTCATTTGGTGTTCAGTTTGTTGAGTTCTTCGTAGTATTCTGGGTATTAAGCCTCTGTCACAAAAGTAGCTGACCAAACTTTTCTACTATTATGAAGGCTGTCTTTTCACTGTTATTTTCTTTGTTGTACAGAAGCTTTTTAATTTGATGCAATTCCATTTGCCAATTTTTGCTATTTTTGTTGAACTCCTGAAGTCCTATTTAGGAAGTCACTTCCTACACCTATATCTTGAAATGGTTGGGCTGGAGATTTAGCTCAGCGGCATAAGCGCCTGCCTTGCAAGCAGGCAGTTGTGAGTTCGATCCCCGGTACCGATAAAAAGGGAAAAGACAAAAAAAAAAAGAAATGGTTACCCTATATTTTAATCTGGTAATTTCAAAGTTTCAGGTTTTCCATTAAGGTCTTTGATCAATTTTTTTGTTGATTTTATTCAGGGAAAGGGACAGGGATCTAGTTTCAATCTTCTATATACAGATACTCATTTTTCTCAGAACAATTTGTTAAAGAGTCAGTATTTTGAAAGAGATCTCTATTAAATTCAAAAGCTTAAAAACAAACTATGACAAAACAAAACCTTTTGCCTACTCTTTCTAGCTAGTTTTGTGGTGGGTCTAAGTCATCTATGGCCTCAGCAGTTAGTTATTGTGCACAAGAAAGATGAGTATCTGGGTGTGTATCTTGGTCAAATGCTGATTCTGATTCTACTTTCGCCTTGGTCCTTAGATCCTGTTGATACTGAATTTAACACCCAATGATGAACATTTATAGTCTTTAAGTGTTTTTCTTTTTTTATTTTTTTTAACCAAAATTGAACTCATGACAACCTTGCACTTGCGAGGCACACGCTTATGCTACTGAGCTACTTCCCCGGACTGTCTCATGTTTTTTGGGCATGCATGTGGCTTTCTAAATTTTCTTGTACGTACTAGTGCTCTAAATGCCTTAACTACCAAAGTGTCCCCCCCCCAAAAAAAATATTTATCCAGGACTCGGGCTTTTTCCCAGGCCTCAGGAAGTCTACTGTATGTCTCACTGTAATTTTTACACAAAACAGCTGCAGGATTTTTCATTTGCCTTATGTTTCTAATCAATGCCCATTTGCTTTTTATCCCTGACAAAGTTCTAAATTAGGTAACACAGATACATAAGTACTAGTCACAGCTCTTCGGGTAGCTTCCAAATGTGTTAGAAAGACAAATACAATAATTTGCAAATACGGTTTAGCTTGGCACCAGAGACCTAGGTCACACACTAGGAATATAAGTTGCTCTCTTCACATCAACTGCCAAGTTGGGAAAAGGGTGCAGCAAAGACAAGCAAAAAAGTCACAATGCATTCCTGGCATTTTTTAGTTACCCTTTTCTTGGTTCAACTTTTCCTTGGTTGCTATAAACCTCTGACTTGTTTTCCAGAGTTCTGACAACGTTATTCTAATGGTTCTGGCTTGTTTTTCAATGTTTTTGTAGAGAGACATAATTTTAAAGCTACCTAATAAATACAACACTTTGCTGATACCACTCTAAATCTTTATTTTTAAAAAGCTGAAAATTCATTGTATAGTTAAGTTGAAATTTACTAAGACAAAATTTATTCTTTTGAACCATTTTAATCTGGAAAATACCCACAGTAACACAGTTCTAGAAATTTTTACTGAGATCCACAAATTAAACTGACGTGCAACAGTGAGTCATATACAATAGTAACTTAATAGATGTAATTTCTTGAATTTATTTTAATATTATACTTTTACTATTGCTATTATTTGATTTCTGACAAATGCTAGATGGTTACGAAATATTAGAAAAACTAAACAACTTATTCTTAGGTAAATACTCTTTACACACACACACACATTCCAGGTATATAATTATACTTTTATAGGATGTTTATGATAGATATACAATGCACTAATTAAAACACTATTTAATTTTTTTCTTTTTCTTTTCTTTTTGGTAGAGGAATCAAACAGACACTTGTGCTACTGAGCTATATCCCCAGCCCTTATATATTGTTAAGCAAAATCCAAAACTTTATTTAAAATCTTAAACTGTAGATCCATTAGCACTCAAAATGAAATGCTTTGTTTTGCAAACTAATAGAATTCAAAAGCAAACAGATCAGTATTTGCTAAAGTCCATCAAAATCATAGCATTTAAAACCCTACTATATTTTAAAGTCATTATCAATAATATATATACCATTCTAAAACATTTGCCAGCTTTACTGACAGTAAAAAATTATCAGTAAAATCAACAACTCAGTCAACTACCAAGTTACTGAGTTAGGAAAAAATAATAATCTTAAGGAAATGTAGTCATTATGAGTAATTCTACTCCTGGCTTTTGCAACTTTATTATACTTCAAAGTTGTCAGCTTACTGAGATCATAATAAACTCTACAGAAGAGTTTATCAAATACCAATGGGTCATAAAGCTAATATAGAGGAGGGTGGGGATCAAGGCCCAAATTTAACATAGAATCAAAGAATAAAACAGATATCAATATACTTGCACATAAAGATAAATATGATAGTCTTACTATACCCATAACACTACTCCATCAAAAGAAGTATCTAAAATAGGATATATCTTCCTACAGCACAGCCTTAAGCACAGGAAAATATTACTATGTACACTTCAATGAGATTTCTGTGAAATTACTGAAGAAAAATATTAAAGGGGTATTGTTTTACTATTTCTATGAGAATACTACCTCATATAGCTTATCCATAATTTAGAAATCTTGAAAATCTGAAGTAAACATCTAAACAACTTAACAAATTATAATGCATCATATGTTCGTTGAAACTCAATTTCAAACTAGTAAAATTTACAATGCTTAACTGACACACTAAGTATTGATCTTTAAAGAACATTCTAATTTCTCCTTACTTCAACCATAACTATGCTTATAGTCCATTTCACAAATATTATAAGGAACATTCTCAGAAATTTGCTAAACTGGTACCTAGTGGTGTACAAAGATTTAAATACGTAACACACTTAATCCAGTTCTTGCTGCATAAACCTTTATAGAAAATATTTCACTGTGAAACTAACTTGCTGAAAATTTCTATCAAAATAAGCAAAATCATGCTACATTCATAAAACGTGTATTTCCTCATAAGTGATTGCTTTAATATATTTTAAAACTTTATAAAGCATTTCACTCATAAATTGTTCTATAGAAAGCAAAAACAAAACTGGACTATTCACATTAGCAAGCAAAAAAATGAAATATTTAGGAATTACTCTTACAAAAGAAGTGAAAGACTTATACAGTGAAAATTATAATACACTGAAAAAGGAAATTGAAGATGATCTCAGAAAATGGAAAAACATCCCTTGCTCATGGATAGGAAGAAGAAACATTGTGAAGATGGCCATTCTCCCAAAACTGTTATACAGATTCAATGCAATCCCAATAGAAATACCATCAACATACCTTATAGAGCTAGAGAAATCACTCCTAAATTTCATCTGGAACCAGAAGAGACCTAGAATCGCAAAGGCAATTCTAAGCAGCAAAGACAAAGCAGGAGGCATCACAATCCCTGACTTGAAGTTATACTACGAAGCAACAGTAGTAAAATCAACATGGTATTGGAATCAAAACAGAACCGAAGATCAATGGAATACATTAGAAGACACAACCACAACTACAAACACACTCAACCACCTTATCTTTGATAAAGGAGCCAAGCAGGTTCACTAGAAGAACGACAGTCTCTTTAATAAGTGGTGCTGGAAAAACTGGCTCTCCATTTGCCGAAAACTAAAGTTAGACCCACGTCTATCACCATGTACTAAATTAAAATCTAAATGGGTCAAAGATCTGAATATTAAAACAGAAACACTAAATCTATTGGAAGACAAATTGGGTAGAAACCTTGGAGACATAGGAGTAGGTAGAGAATTCATGAACAGGACTCAAACCGCACGGGAAATACTTCCCAGAATCAATAACTGGGACCACTTCTTATTAAAAAGTTTCTGCATGTCAAAAGAAATCTCCAGCATAGTGAAAAGAAAACCCACAAACTGGGAAAAGATTTTAGTGAACTCTCTCTCAGACAAGGGCCTCTTGTCTAAAACATATAAAGAATTAAAAAAACTCAGACCTCCAAAATTCAAAGATCCAATCCAAAAATGGGCATCTGAGATGAATATGCAATTCTCAGATGAAGAAATGCAAATGGCAAATAAATACATGAAAAAATGCTCATCATCATTGGTCATTAGAGAAATGCAAATTAAAACCACACTGAGATACCATCTCACTCCTGAAAGAATGGCCAGGATCAAGAAAACCGACAACAAATGCTGGAGAGGCTGTGGGGAAAAAGGAACTCTCCTGCACTGTTGGTGGGAGTGTAGACTGGTACAGCCTTTGTGGAGGTCTGTCTGGAGATTTCTCAAAAAGTTGGGATTGGAAATCCCATTTATTCCAGCTATTCCACTTCTAGGCATATTCCCAGAAGAACTGAAAGCATCATACCACAGTGATATATGTGCACCTATGTTTATAATTTGTAATCGCCAGATCTTGGAAACAACCCAAGTGTCCATCAGCTGAGGAATGGATAAAAAAGTTGTGGTATTTCTATACAATGGAGTATTATTCAGCTATAAAGAAGGATCACATTGAGATATTTATCAATAAATGGGCGCAGCTTGAGACCATACTCATAAGTGAAATAAATCAATCTCGCATGTGTGAATACCGAATAGTTTCCCTAGTGTAAGTAACGATTCAAATATATAAAAATATGTGGTAATCATGATTCCCCATTAGGTGGCCTTGAAGCCTTATAAAGTTTTAACTTATTAATTAGAAAGGCTTTATTCTGGGCTTCTGGATATGGAAATATTTGAAGCTATAGTATATGAAGTTTTATCTAAATATTTCAACAAAAAAGACAGACACTATGGTAACTACTATTAAATCGGGTTATTTGGTGGTGAAGCACGAGGTTGCCGAAACAGTCATGCTTTGACCTGTATTGTTATATTGTTATGTCCTGTTTTAACTCAATCTCTCCCTTACTCTTTAAAAAAATTATTTAGTTATTTCTTATGTTTGTTTTAATTAAGGCAAAAAATTTTTAAAAATTAGGATATATTAAAAAAAAAAAAGAAAGAAAGCAGAAACAGACCAGGAAAAGTATTAAAATAAATGACTATAACTGGCCAATTTGCCTTTATAATGAAAGAGCCTCCTTCATAAATTGGTAACATTCTTTTTTTTTTGGTCTTTTTTCTTTTTATCGGCACCAGGGATCAAACTCATGACTGCCTGCTTGCAAGGCAGGCGCTTATGCCGCTGAGCTAAATCCCCAGCCCGGTAACATTCTTAATATACAAACTGAACTGACAAACTCAGTAGTCAGTAGGACAGAATTAGGACAGTAACCTGAGGTTCTTCTAAATACTGAGTTTTCAATGAATTCATTAGGTCTAAACTTAAGGATCTTCACTGGTTCAGTGAAGAAGCTTTAAATCCCATTTCTAAAGGAAAGTATCTCAAAAAGAAAGTACATATAAATCTACTTTCAATAAAATTATTAGGCCACGCTTAGGTAAATACTACGTTTTTACTGATTTTATACGCTTCGAACTGGACCTCCACTTTATGTCTTAAAATACTCCGTATTTTAAAGCATATAAGCAAGTCATCTAGTAACCAAAAGGAAAAACTGAAACTTAAATTTTAGCTCTACCCAAACTACATACTGTTACTTAGTGTAAAACGTCACACTAAATCTTTTTTGAAAAACTCATAAATTAGTATGAGTCTGTGGCTTGCCACAGAAGCTGATGCACTTACTACAAAACACTCTAGTTCACAAACCTAAGTAAATATTCATGGTGTGTAAAATGACTCACTTTAGGCTGTAAGCATTAATTTTAATATGAAAACTCTTAAAGTGTTGCTTCAAAAGAACAGTTTGAATCGCTGAATAAAATCATTGCATAAGTGTTCAAATTTACCTGTTTGAGTCCTTTATCAGTAAGTTTGTCCTGGTTGCCTACATGTACTTTTTGAAGTAAAGGACAGTGAGAGGCAACTGCAATAATAGAGGTGTCAGAAAGCTGTTTACACCTGTACCCTGTATACCTAAGTAGTCCAGGACACTTAAATGCTAGAACACATACGCCAGTGTCAGACATACTGCGACAATTAGAAATGTTGATTTCTATTATATTCTGACTTCTTGATGCAATTTTTTCCAATAATTCATCAGTGACCTAGGAGAGAAAGAAAGCAATAAATTTAAATTGTTCCTAAAAGCAGAAAGTTACATTTTAAATTTCTCCCATAATATTCATTAGATCACAAAATAACTATATAACAAAAAGCCTTAATATTAAAGCATAACAAGAACTGTGGTATGATAAAAATATGTACGTTTGCTCTCTATCCTCCACTTTCTGACAGAGCTTCTAAAACTCTCGGAATTTCCTGATTGCTCATGTCTTTTGTTATTTATAACAAATCCGTGGACCACACCAGTTGGTCAGAACTAGCTGCCTCAGAGTCTGCCACTAGACAGTGCATGGGGTTGGCTACCATAAAGACTAACCAGGTGAACAAAGGGTGTTGTTTTTCAGGAGGGGCTATATCTAGATAATAAAAACTCCTCAAAAGGATATTCAAAGAGCCTCTAAATTGAGAAACACATCCATGTGCCAGGAGGGTGACATACCTTGCCTTATGACACATTTCTGTTTGGTTGCTCCTGAGTTACATTCACTATAATAAATCAGTAAATGTAAGTTTTTCCTGAGTTCAATATGTTTAGCTCCTTATAAAACCTGAGGTCTCACTGGAGGAACTCTTGAAATTTATAGCTCTTCAATCAGAGCTATAGGAGGCTCCAGAGATTTGCAACTGACATCTGAAGTGGAGGCACTCTGTTAAGACCCTTAACTTGTGAGGAATATGCTAACCTTGGCAGACAGTGTCAGAAATGAACTGAATTGGACGCTCAGGTGATGTAATATTGGTTATTAATGTAAAAGAAACTATGCCTTGGGTATCAGAAGCAATGTGAGAAAATACCAAGGAAAAATGTGTGTATTCATTTTCAATGAAAGCCAAAAAATTTATCCTTTTTGGGGAAAAACTCACTTTAGTTTAAACTCAAAGCTTACCAAAAATTTACCACGAACAAAGCTGCATTGAGATTTTAAATGTGGTGTTTTCCACTTTTAGATCAACAAATAATGTACATCAGTCATGCTATATGAACGCTGATTTTTTTTTGTCTTTTTCCTTTTTTTATCGGTACCAGGGATCAAACCCACGACTACCTGCTTCCAAGGCAGGTACTTAGGCCGCTGAGCTAAATCCCCAGCCCCGAATGCTGATTTTTTATACATGATATCACATAATACTATAGGTTTAATTTCAATTGTTTTACTACTATCAGGATACTAACACATATGTAATTAATTCATAGCATAGAAAATATATATTGTATTTCAAAATACCAAAAATTCTATAGAAATGTCCATGTCCAAAAAATGTATTCAGAACATAATAATCTTACAATTTATCAGACAAAATATACACACAGATATCAGAATTTTTTAAAAAGTCAATCTCTACATGTTCCCTGACCAATCATCATACTTGAAAGGGAAACAAGTTAATGTTATTTAAGTCCTTGGGGTAAAAATAACAGAGAAGGAAAATTCACATGAAATTTAAAATGGAAAAAGAAAAACAAAATAGACAGCTGAAAAACAGGAGGAGTAAGAGCCAAAAATAAAACTGTTTGTTTATGCTTTCTGAAAATAGCATCAGTGGAAACTGCTCCCTGAAAGATTAAAAGTGTGATATACTTCTCCTTTTCTTTCTTTCTTTCTTTTTTCTTTTTTTTTTTTTTTGTACCAGGGATCGAACTCACGACCTCATTCTTGCAAGGCAGGTGCTTGTGCCCTGAGCTAAATCCCCAGCCCCTCCTTTTATTTTTTCATCTCCAAATCTTACTATCAGCAGAAGAAAGTCATTTTTAGTGTAATTTTGCTGTAAACAGTTTTGACATCGAAGAGTAATGAAGTAAAGTGTAAATGGATTATTTCACAATTTTTTTATTCTATTAGACACAACTGACATCATTTTAAACTCTTACCAATAAGCAGAAAAGAAAAACTGAATAATGTAATATAAATGCAGGAACACGTCTGTTCAAAATGCGACCATCATACATAAACTACCAGTGGTGTAGAACTGACTTATACTCACTCAACCACATAAACTGAGAGCTTCTTTCCAAATCTAAATTCACTGGCATCACATACATAGCTTGAAATTAGCCATGGTAAAATGATTTATATCATAGAAGTAGGCAAGCAGCAAAAATCAGAACATTTTTGGAAGCTTGTTGTTAAATATCTAACCACACCTCAGTAAGGGAGTAATATTCCAAGGAGGCATTTAGAACAGATTTATTAGTCAAAAAAAATCCTATTCTCAGCGGGTATTTTTGTGTATTCCTAATGCTAAATACTATCAAGTTTTAAGTATGAATTCAAAATGTTTCAACAAACTGCAATAAGCACTATAAGTTCCAGGATTCCATCAACATGAATAAAGAAAATGTGGTATAAATATAAAATGGATTATTATTTGGTCATAAAGAATGAAAACATGTTATTTGCAAAAAAAAAGGATGACATCTGAAACCATGTTAACTAAAATAAGTGAGACACAAAGTTAAATTTCATAGTTTCTTATTAAAAACAAAATATAAATAAATTTAAAAAATTAAAGCGAGCCTGTATAAAACAGAAAGACAGCATTTCTTTGTGTGTGTGAGGTGTTTTTTTGGGGGGAGTTGGGGTTTTTTGTATTGCTTTGATTTGTTTTTGTCTTTTTGAGACAGAGTCTCACTATGCAGTTCAGTCTGACCTTGGTCTCACTTTGTAGCCCATGTTGTTCTCGAACTTGCAAACAATTCTCTTGCCTCAGCCTCCCAACTGCTGGAATTATAGGTATGTGCCACCATGCCAGCTTTTAAGGCAGGTATTTTGAGAAGCTAAAAGGGGTTGGGGAGGGGCATACAAAGGGAGGCAAAGGAATTATAAATTATCAAGATGAATATATACACACACACACACACACACACACACACACACACACACACAAACAACAACTGTGTAATAGGAGAATTAGAAAATTTGTCAAAAGGAAAGTTTTTATAATAAGAGCATATATTACTTTCATTTCTTCGGCCATGAAACACTGAAATAGTACCTCTTCATAGCATTGCTCCGAGGATCAAATGTGTTACTATGCATAAAGCCCTCAGAACAGTACACAGCACAAAGGCAGAGATGCACAAAAAGTTTGCCATCAGTTTCTACTGTTAAACTATTGCAATCTCTCTACAAAAAGGAACTGTTTACTAATTTTAAAAAGTCAAGGCTGGGGATATAGCTCAGTGGCACAGTGACTGCCTGGCAAGCACCAGGTCCTGAGTTCAATTCCCAGTACAAAGAAAAAAAAAAGTCAAAGGAAAAAGAGGAAAGACATAACGAAATATGATAAATATTTTAAAAGAACCTAAATAACCTATGTATGCTTAAAACTATCTTGTTCACTATGATAACCTAGCTTCAACTTGAATTTTTCCAAAATACACTAAGAAAGCCCAAATTGTATACTGTAGCCATTTGAACTAACTTGAACAACAACATAGAAGAGATTTTTTTAAGAGGAAGGAGTTTTTTTTTTTTTTTAACTCAGTAGGTCAAATTGAGTATTTCCATACCTGTTGACAACTACTAAGATCCAATTGCTTCCAAAACTGGAAATCTAAACAAAGGTCACGCCAATACTTGCAAACCAATGATGCAGAAACGCAACATTCATCCAGGAACAAATTGCAAAATATCTGTAATTAAAAGAAAACATATATGTAGTAAACATTGCCCAGGCATAGGAAAAGGCTTTAATTAGTTAGAAAATTAATTACTTAAAATAAGGAAATCATCTTGAATACAAGTAGCCATAGAAAAGTCATTGTTAAGCATTACTCTATACAGGAGCTAAGAACAGGGGCTGAAGGGGGAGAGAACAAAGGGATACCAGCATGTATGTATGCATGCGTCTGTGTATTTGTTTGTATTTTAAAAAGATTGGAAGGATAAGCCAAAAACCAATAAAGACTGCTTATCTTTAGGGAAAGAGAAAAAAGACTAGGAAGACGACTAGAATGAAAGAGAGATTAAAGATCTCTAATTTGACCTTGGAATCATCTAAACATTTTATATGCAATTTAATAGGAAAAAAAACAAATCATAAGAAAAGCACACTACCTCTACAATATCTTTTTCTAGAAATCCATAATTCCAATCTCTTACTGGGAAAAACATACACACCTAATGTCGGCCATTCTACAAAACACCTCGTCAAAACTCCTCAAAATATTCAGTCTTGAGAAACAAGAAAAAACTGAGGAACTACCACAGTCCAGAAAGATTAATGCAAAATGATAAGTAATGCAATCCTGAATCAGATCCTTGGACAGAAAAGGACATTAAAGGAAACAGGTAAAATCTAAATAAAGGTGGAGTTCACGCAACATAATACAACAATGTTCACAGTGCCAGCAAATGAACCACAGCAATGAAAGGTAATAAAATTTTGCAAAGCAAACTGCGTACAGAGTACAGTGATACCTCAGTTATCCAACTCAATTTACTCCAAATTTATGTTGAAAAACCAAGATGTTTGAGAACTAAACATATTTTTCCCATAAGAAAAATGGAAAACCACTAGTTCTGAGATCTAAAAGTTACATTTATAAATTCATTTTTCCAGAACATTAACAAGTTTTGTGATCATTTGTTTCTTTAACTCTTGCTTTAACTCTACATGGTTCTCGAAAGTTTTCCTCTAAGCTTATCGCTGGTATCACCAACTTTTCTCAGCACCATGGCTATGGTATTTTACACAAATACACACATACACATCAAAGAAGCACAATGAGGAATGTTTTAACGCACAAACACAAGCACCATATGTTGTCTGGGCAGGAGTGGCACTTTGCACTAAAGTGTTACCCCTTTGTGTCCTTGGTGAGAAGTGGCATGCGACTCAATCTCAGCCTTTACAGGTTTTTTTTAAGTCAAATTTTCAGCTGGACTATAGAGCAAAGTCAGAGCAGATTCTTTTTTCAAACTTCTCTGTTCGGGTAGTGGCAAGTTCAACCATGAAGCTTTTGATACTAGCAGACACTAGCTATTATCCTTGCACCTTACCTAGCAGGGCCACTGTGTGAATCTGAGAGTAGATAGTTTGTGAACAGTTCTGAAACTGAAAAGGAGTAGGCAGAGCATAAACAACTGCTACTATAACTATGCGCTGAAATGACTTACCTCTGTACAATCAGAAAATGTAGACATCTACTCTAGAATATCTAGTACGTTCAAATCTTGAGTCTTAGGAAAACAACTGCCTGAACTTCCTAAACAAAGGATCCACTGAGAAGAAAAGAATATGCATAAGAATCCCCTAATGAATGCAGCTCTGATAGCAGCAAACATGTAGTAAGCCTATTACAGCCTTTCACTCACAGTTCTTATAACTGAAACCGCTGGACAATATACTAAAAACAAGTACCTCAAGACTAAAAAAGTTAATAATGCGTGGGCTACAGAGCAGAGCAAAAATCT